GCAATATCTTTTGATAGCCGTGCACCATCAGCTTTCTTCACTACATTTACTTATGCACCCATTTGTCTCCAGCAATCATATCAGGGAGGTGTGCACACAATGCTATGATTTTTTTGTTTTTTGTTACCTGATAACTGATCCCTTTGACACCTCATGAGCACTGAGCTAGATAGTCGCTTGCTTACCTTCAAGCCTTTAAGACCCCAGACGCTATATCTTTTGATAGCCAGGCACCATCTGCTTTCTTCCCCTCATTACCTTATGCACTCGCTTTGTCTTCAGCGATTGCATCAGGGAGGTGAGCATCATGGAATGCCAGTTTAATAGAACAAAGTATTCTTGCCTTGAAGGAGTACTTGAGTGGAGGCCCAATGTCCATCTGCTACCTTAATACTAAATCTATACATATATGCACATAGCTCTATTTCTACATCCTCATATATAAATATATTAACATATGTACATGCCTTTATTTAAACCTCTATAAATGTCCTTTACCTCCTAGCTCTTTCCTCTATTTCCTTTCACTTTCCTCTTGTCCCACTATCATTCTCAGCCTTCATTAGGGTTTCTGTAATTCCTCTCGGTTACATTACCCTTAATCAATTCCTACCAGGCCTCCTACACCCTCCTCACCACCGATTTGGATCACTTGTTGTTCTCTTGTCCCTGGGTTTGTTAACACCACTTCCTTTCCCCCCTCCTCCCCCTCTCCCATGTCCCCCCGGAACTGTCGGTCCCACTGTTTTCTCTTCCAGATTGTTCATCTAGCCTATCTTATTTAGACAGACCTGTGGAGATAATAACGCACAAAAACAAGACAGAGCAAAACAAAGCAACAAAATAAAACAAAACAACAAGAAGCCAATGACAAAAAAAAACAAAACAAAACACAACAACAAGAAAGAGAAGCTTGTAGTTAGTTCAAGGACTGTTCATTAATTTCTTTTTTTCTTAATCATTCCCATTCCCCACTCAGATATGAATTAAAAAAAGATATTTCTATTAGGTGATAATATTTGACTTCTGTAATATAAGAAATCATATCTAGCTAGAGGAGTAAACTCAATCTAAAATAAATAAGAAAACCAATAAAACGAAAAACCAAACCAAACCTACTGCTATCAAGTCAATTCCAACTCAGAGTGACCGTCTAGTGCAGAGTAGGCGGAATCTTTACAGAGGCAAACAGATGCCACTGCTTATCGTATCACCTACAAGAGTACATTGGTTCTCCAACAGAAGCCAGGCATTCAACTAGTTTCATCCACAATGTACTAGCCAAAAATACAACGACTATGCCATTGTCATCCTTTAAACGCTCCGAATCCAGGTTTCCTTTGCTTAGAGGAAAATGCAAGGCCTTCTGCCTCCCTCCAGGCTCATCAATTATATATCCCTTTTCTTTTTAATTCCTACTTCAAGTTTTATTAAAACCAAGTTGCTCTACAACCAACACTCATGCCGCAATTCCTCCTGCCACGACATCTTTGTTCATGTTGTTGTTTGTCCTGATACTTCTTTTTTTGATATTGTTTGTTATTTTTCTTCCTTCCCTTCCCTTTTTTTTTTTTAAAGCTAACTCTCCTTTATCTTTTAAGATTCAGTTCAGGAGTATTTTCTTCTGGGATAATTGCCTCTCTCTCTTTGACTACATGGATCAGTACCTCATCTTCCTCCACCAGCTCCACCTCCACTTTCACCTCAAGTAGTGCCAGAGCAATTAACATTTATTCAGTGCTTCGTCTGTGCGGCACTTATGCTAAGAGTGCATATATTAGCCAGTCAATATAAGAGCCCTCTCCTGTACCTATTGTAGATAAGGAAACTAAGGACTAGCAGGCTACTTTACCTAGATGGGATGCGGGGAAGTTTGATGGCATCCAGAGTTTGGGTTCTTAGGCATCATCCTAAACTTGTTTGCAACAATTAGCATACTACAATGAAATGAATACTTTTCTTCCAGATTTTCTTATCACAGTATAAACTCAAAATTCGCAATAATAACTCTGTTATCAGGGCTGTGTTAGTCTGGGTACTTTGGAGAAACAAATCTACAGAAACTCATGTATAAGAGAGTTTTATATAAAGCTTAAGTGCACATCAAGGAAACATCCCAACCCAGTGCTATCCAAGCCCACAAGTCCAACATTAGCCCATATGTCTGACACCAATCCACAAAGTCCTCCTCCATCTCACAAAACAGACACAATGATGCCGACTGCAGGAGGAAAGCCGAGTCAGTGAATGTGTAAGTATCTCAGTGCTGGCAGGGGTCTCCACACGGCTGCTCCAGCACCCCTGGCTGCATCGGGGTAGGTCCATGTAGCTGCTCCTTGGGGATGTCTTGCAGGCAGTGAGCCTTGCCAGCTGAAGCAAGGAACTGGCTAAGGCAGCTGCACCCTGGTCTGACCATCACAAAGCAAGAGACCTGAGAACTCAAAAGGCGAGGCTCACAGAGCCACTTATCCCTCTGCCCTTCAATTAACCCCACATGCGTTTATCAGCAAGGTTGGTACAATCAACTTTAACTATCTCAAGGGCTCAGAATATAGTTGGCATTTAATAAATTTATATTGGGCTGACTTAATCCTCTAGAGTTATTTAAAATAACGAAGACAAACCAAAAGGCATTGTCTTCAAGTCAATTCTGACTCGTGGTGACCCTAGATGATGGCACCATCTCTAAGGAAGCAAACTGTCACATCTTTCTCCTGTGGATAAGCTGGTGGGTTTGAACCCACGGACCTTTGTGTTGGCAGCCAAGTACTTAACCACTGCACCACCAAATATGAGCCACTGATCACTCTTATCTTCAATAAGGTACTTTAAAAAAAAATACTAAAGGAAGACTCAACGGATTAGGACTCAAAATGAAGTGAAAATCAATAATAGTATTCAATTAATTACTCCACCTTGAACCTCCTGGTCATATAAAATAAAAATGAAGTTCTAATCAAGAAGAAGAATATACAGAGTCTCAACAACTTGGTCAGATGGATAGTTTATAAAATGTATGTCATAACACTAATTTAGTGAGTAGTATGGGGGGCGGGTCTTTAAAGGTTTTAAGTCGCTATCTAAGGTACCACTATTAGTTTCTATTCACAAGGAGCAAAAGAGAAAGACAGAACCCAAAGGCACAGAGGAGAAACCAGTCTACTGGACTAGTGAGATACACAAACCATGGCCTCCTCTTCCCTGAGATCAGAAGAACTAAGATAGTCCCTGGCTACCCCGACTAACTTTTATAAACCAGAGCCATAAAGTGCCAGGATGTGGGGAAAGGTGCTACAAAATGGAAGTTCTTTAAAGAGTCCGAATTTACTGGACTGGTTGATTACTGTCCTGACATATTCATCTTTTAACCCTGGAATCAAAACTATCCCTATACTTAATAACAAATTGTCGCATAAAATAAAGAACATCACTCTTGGGTATTGTGCTTTTTTTTCCCCCTGGACTCATCCATACTAAAGCAAACATGAGCTGTGAAAGGGGCAAGGAAACAAGGTCCTGTACACAAAACAACCAGAATGGAAATAATGAGAATGCTAACATGAAAAATGTAACAAATGCCACTGAACAATTTTTATAAAAACTGTTAAATAAAATCTAATGTGCTGTGTAAACGTACACTGAAAACCCAACAAATTATTATTCAATAATAGTATATAGACCGAGGACTCACGTAGAAACAAATTGTTTTGGAGATGTTGATGGCAACATATGTACAAGTGTGCTTAATATCATTGAATGCTGGATTGTTAGAAGACTTGTAAGAATCCCCCAATAAAATGATTAAAATTAATAGCATATAGAAAACATCTTCAAGGATATAAAATAACATATACAAAACCCGTCACCTTATAAAAAGTTAATTTAAAGGAGATTTTGAAGTTAAATGTAAACTACACAACAACTTTAGAAAAGAAAGCGGGAGAAGATTTTCAGGATCTAAGCTATTCAAAGAGTTTATAGACCTGACATCTGAATACAACCCACAAAAACAAATATAGAAAAATTGGACTTCACTGAAGTAAAACAACAAAACAAAAACCTTCTGCCATATAAAAGATCCTGTTAAAGGGAATCCAGGGCGGATGAGCCCTACAGGACCAGTGGTGTGAGTGGCGATAATGGGAGGGTAGAGGGAGAGTGGGTTGGAAAGAGGGAACCTATTACAAAGAACTATATGTGACCTCCTCCCTGGGGGATGGACAACAGAAATGTGGGTGGAGGGAGACGTCGGACAGGGCAAGATATGACAAAATAATAATTTATAAATTATCAAGGGCTCATGAGGGAGGGGGAGCGGGGAGGGAGGGGAAAAATGAGGACCTAATGCCGGGGGCTTAAGTGGAGAGGAAATGTTTTGAGAATGATGAGGGCAATGAACGTACAAATGCGCTTTACACAATTGATGTATGTATGGATTGTGATAAGAGTTGTATGAGCCCCTAATAAAATGATTAAAAAAAAAAAGATCCTGTTAAGAGGAGGAAAAGACAGTCTGCAGAGTGTATAAACTATTTCAAACCATTTATATTTTTAAAAATATGAAGAGAATATAGAATGAGAACTGCCTACAAAATTAAACCGTAAAAACGAAAAGTAAAACGAAAAACACAACCCAATTAAAGATGAATAAGTAAGAAGTACAGACATTTCACTGAAGAGGATACAGAAGTAACGAATGAGCTCCTGAAAAGATAGTCAACATTATTAGTCATTACGAGTGCCAGTCGTTGTTGACTCTGACTCACAACGACCCCACGTGTGTCAGAGTAGAACTGAGCGTCATAGGGCTTTCCCAGTGACTGATTTTTAGAATGCAGATTGCTAGGACTCTCTTCCGAGACACCCCTGTGTAGACTCAAACTCCCAACCTTTCAGATAAGCAGCCAAGTGTCTGAACCATTTGCACCATCAGGGACAATAGTCCTTGTTGTTGTGAACCCCTGAATTGATTTCAATTCACAGTTACCCTGTAAAACAGAGTAGAATGGCCCTAGAGCGTTTCATAGGCTGCATTCTTCCTGGAGTGAATTGACAGGTCGCCAAGCACTTAACCACGGCGCTACCAAGGCTCTTTCCATTACCCAACAGGGAAAGGTAAATTAGAGGCCCAATGAGTTATCACTATATACCTAAAATCAGAAAAAACAGCGATAACCCCAAATGCTAGCAAGAATGTGGAGAAACTGGATCACTTACGCTTTGTGAGTGAGAATGTAAAATTGTATGACCAACTCTGTATGTCTCCATTTTTGTAACATCCTTGAGATGATAAAACTATAAAAATAATGAATAGATCAGTGGTTGTCAGGAGCCAGAAAATAAATGGGAATAAGGAGAAAAGACATGGATGTGGCTGCAAAAGCCAACCAGGGGATTCTTGTAAACTCAAACAACTGCCACTGAGTTGATGTTTTCCTATAACAATAAGACAAAACAGCAAGAATTTTACAGATAAAATTCAATGCTGGCTCAGTGGAATGAAGACTCTCACAACTGATGATAAGAATATGATAGAATCCAGCAATACTCTGTTGATACCTTGGAACTAGAGTTTGGTAAATCTAGCCTAGGAAAACCATTCTAAATTGCAATGCTACCCACAGGAAAATGAATGTTTTAGGCACAAAGATCTTTATCATAATAAATCAAATGTTGCCATGTCAGTCTGACATATGATTCAGAGTTCAAGAGTGTTCCATAATGTTTTCAATGGCTGGACCTTTCAGCTCTGAGGGGTCCCTGGATGAGTTAAAATCACCACGTGTCTAACTGTTTGTGCCCCATAGGTCTCCTTATCATACCAAAGAGTTAGAAACAAATACGTCCAGCTAAATTATGGTAGAAATAAGGGAAATGAATATCAAAAATGTTGGCAATAACTTAAATATAAGAAACACCTACAGCTATCATTTCATGGAGAGAGGCGGATGGTGCAAATATGGGAGGGAGTGAAAGGGGAAAAGTAGGGAGGAAAGTAAAAAGAATCAGCCAAAGAGGAACAAAGGATTTGGTAGGGGGACAGAAAGATGGATAACAGGTATATGAGTATATACAAATCTACCGTATTTTGAGCAAAAGAAAACTACTATATATAGATACATATATATATACACATATACACATTTTAATAGAAAATTAAGAATTATTCATGTGAGAAGACAGACACAAAACACTACCTACCACACAATTCCATTTATATGGTATCTTTGAAAGGAAAGAGAAAAGATAAAAAATTGCCAGAGGCCAAGGTAGAACATTTTTTTTGAGAGGTGTGAATTTGTCTATATTTCTAAACTGTATGCTAAAAACAGTGAATGTTAAGATTTATAAAGTATGCTTTGATTTAAAAATGGAGGAAGAGAGGGAACTGATTACAAGGAACTATATGTGACCTCCTCCCTGGGGGACAGACAACAGAAAAGTGGGTGAAGGGAGACGTCGGACAGGGCAAGATATGACAAAATACCCATTTATAAACTATCAAGGGCTCATGAGGGAGGGGGAAGCGGGGAGGGAGGGGAAAAATGAGGACCTAATGCCGGGGGTTTAAGTGGAGAGAAAATGTTTTGAGAATGATGTACAAATGCGCTTTACACAATTGATGTGTGTATGGATTGCGATAACAGTTGTATGAGCCCCTAATAAAATGCTTAAAAAAAAATGGAGGAAGTCGTGAACTTCTTTACCCTGCTCATGTGGTCAGAGGGGTCGAGGCGGAGAGGCCAAATGCTTGTGCTGAATTTCAGCAGCAGAACCAGATGGGAAGAGCAGGATGCAAGGGGGATGGGTTCACTGCATAGCTAAGTGTGGAAGCTCTTTGAGGACACTTCAATTCTGTTAAAGCTAATTTACAGATGCAGAAAGTGTCAGGGAACCTAAACATAGGTTAGTTCCAAATTAGCTGCTGTAAAAAATGTAGTCATATGATTAAGTTTCTATGATACATAAACCCCACAGAGGTGGCTCTGCATGACTCCCTCCTACTTCTCTGCAGACTGACTCCTCTACTTCTTTAATCTAAAATCAGAGGTTCCCCAACTTATTGGTCTAGAGTCTCCTTTTCAGTGCCCCCCTGGCAATTAAAAACATTTGTACTATAACTCATAATCCAAGATAAAGTGTAGGTATCTGCTTTTGGGGTACCCCCTGGAATTTTAGTAGACTTAACAGTTTTCATACAGGATTCCGGCTGAGACTGTGGCCTTGCTGTAACCAGATGTCTGGTGTTAGGCCAATCAGCTGGGTGCTGGGGAGGTGTCTGTTGAATGAAATAACTGCTTCTACTACAATGCTTTAAGCGGGGAAGGAGAGAAGTTACTCTTGAAAGTAGAGGGCCAAGGGGAGGAGGGGGAAGGGGGGTTAGGAAAGCTTAATGGGGGGAGGCATTACAGAACTGCACCTTATACCTGGTGTGATCAGCCTTTATTATTTTACCACACCTTAAAATAGTACAGTAAGATCAAACTAAAATAATCATGGTTCCACATTTTATAAGGGAAATACCTGTTAATAATACATCTGATTAAGAGCCTGATACAAAATACTACAGTGAACCCTCGTTGATCGCGGTTAATCGGTTCTAGACCCTACCATGATAAATGAAATTCCGCGAAGTAGGATTCCTTATTTGTAAATCAAATATTTTCGTAGTTAGAGCATAGAGGACATGATAAAACACCCTTTAGTCACCATTACACTCGTATTACCCAATTTATTAAACGAAAAAGGGAAAATACAGTAAAACATTTTGGACGTTACAATGATCATTTATTATTTATTATATTATTTATGGCATCAAGCGTGTACAGTATGAGCCAATCAGTGGCAGTAATGACAGAGCATGCGCTGTTACGCAAAAACCGCGATAGAGTGAAGCCGTGGAAGTCGAAGCGCGAAGTGGCGAGGGTTCACTGTATTTTTAATCTCCCATAAATAACTTACGTTCATAGGAAAAATGTCCCTAACTTTAAAAGGGGCAATTGAGGAGTAACAACATAAAATTTTACCTAATAAGATAGAATATTTCCCTACTCAAGATTGTAAATTCTTAATTTGTCCCCACAACTGACACAAGTTATATGAACAGCCAAACAGAACCAACAAGTGTAATCAAAGAGAATAAATGCCCTAGTAAATGTATAAAATGATTAAATACATGAAGGATCCTCAAAGTTTATATCTTAAGGCTTCATGACTTGATCAAACAGTCAGAAGACCAAAGGGGGAAGGTAACAGGGCCAGAGAACAGGAGAGGATTTTCCAAGGGAAAAGTTTGCAAAAACTTTACACTTAACGGCGTCTTGGGAAGCAAATCCTGGGGTGTTGGTTTTACTGATTTTTTTTAAATCAAAGCCAGAAATAATCATTAAAAAGTTTTCTTTTTCTTTGAGCTGTCTTCTTATTCAGCTCCAGCAGGTGACTGCGCATTCATTCACCCTCGTGTTTTATAAGTATTCCTTCCTTTAAAACAGTGGTTCTCAACCTTCCTCATGCTGCAACCCTTGAATACAGTTCCTCATGTTGTGGTGACCCCCAACCATAAAATTATTTTCGTTGCTGCTTCATCACTGTAAGTTTGCTACTGTTATGAATTGGGTGACCCCTGTGAAAGGGTCGTTTGACCCCCAAAGAGGTCGCGACCCACAGGCTGAGAACCGCGGCTTTAAAATGTTTTATCGCAGTGTGGTTCAGAGTCTAAATTTGTGTCCTGCTTGAATAATGGCCAAAACTCCAAAAACAAGCTGAGCTTGATCCTGGCCCACAAAAGTCAGAAGCCTTACAATCTCAGCCATGGTCTTTTTTTTTCCAATCATAAAAATATGCAGAAATGGTTCTTTCTATCTAATTTTAAGGCTTAGCAGAAGAGAAAATGTCTGAATATAATTAATGAGAATCGTTTTATTTTTTGGAAATAGTTTTTATCTTAAACTTCTGCCTACTATTAGTCTATATACACATTACAGGAGGCTCCTTCAGTACTTGCCCTCACCCCATGGGTCACATGCCTGTCCAATCCTGAAGGAGAAATGGATTAATTACACAGATTCTGACAGCCCATGCCACCATTGCTTTTGCCCACCATCAGTGCTGTTGGCCCTAGATTCCTGTTCCTAGTGAGTCTCAACCCATGTTCATTGTCTTGTCTACTGAAAATAGTTATTTTCTTAGCAACCCGCTTTACCCCAAGTGTGGAAAACTTCTTCTTTTCCTTCATTTATCAAAGTAGACTACTCATTATCTAGTTCTTTATTTTCCCTCAAAGGCTTAAGGTAACAAAAAGAACCTTGCTAGTACAAACCATTTCTGTTCAACTACCAACCAAAAGACAAGCCCTGGTGGTGAGTCGTGAGTTGGGCTGTAATCAGCAAGGTCCTACGTTTGAAACCACCAGCTGCTCTTCCGGAGAAAGATGGGGCTTTCTACTCCCATAAAATTACAGTCTCAGAAACTTGCAGGGGCAGTTCTACCCTATCCGATAGGGTCACTATTAATTGGCATCAATTAGATGGTAATGATCTTTTTGTTAATCAACTAAAAGTTGATGGTTCTAATTCACTCGGCAACACCAGAGAGAGAAAAACTAAAAGTTGATGGTTCTAATTCACTCGGCAACACCAGAGAGAAAAATCCTAGACAGCTACTTCTGTAGGAGCTCAGCCATTGAAAACCCTATGGAACATTGCCCTGCTCTGAAACACACAGGTGTCACGATGAGTCAGGATACACTGCATGGCCATGCTTTTTGTTCAGTGGCTTTAAGATAGCACAGGTTAATTAGAACAGTGCGGAAAACAACTTTTAAGGCCAGAGCTTGGATCTTGCTCCTCACCCCAAAGACTTCAAATTCACTGCCCCTGAATCAATTCAGACTCATAGCAACTCAAACAGACTTAGGACGGCTTCTGTGGGTTTCTGAGACTGTAAATCTTTACATGAATAGAAATTCGCTTCCTCTACCTCCGGAGGAGCAGCTGGTGGTTTTGAACTGATAACCCTATTGTTAGCGGTCCAATGCAAAGCTCACTACCCCACCAGGGCTCTATGATCCTCCAGGTAGCCAGTGAACCTGCCCACACAACATTGACCCTCAGAGCCCTGACTTTATCTTGGACTTAAAGTCTATAATCATAGTAATGAACTTTTCTTTTGCTTACTTGATAAACATAAAAAGCAAATCAGTCAAGAAATTTGCCTATCTCCCATTTCAGAGAATTAATGGAGGTCCATGCATTGATCTGATACTACCCCACATCTTGAACTACAATAAGAAAAATAAAGTGACAAATCAAAACCAGGACTCCTATTACTTAACCAATCAAAGCCCAAACTTACCTCTTGTACATATTTTTCACTGAAAAAAGCACTACTTGAAGTCGGAGGTGCCATAGATGATGAAATGCCTACGAATATTCAGCACTTATATTTGTAGAGTTTTTTATTATTGTTGTTTTACGTAGGTAATTATTACTTAGGTAAACTGAGTGCATGCAACGTCTTTAGGAAGTGTTCATAATATTTAAGGGAGTACTATGCCTTGCTAAACAATGATGACCACATGGATGGTCCTGGAGAACATTATGCAGCGTGAACTCAGTCACTCGCAAAATGAAAATACTGTAGGAGTCAATTGTTAAAGAAAAAAAATCATGAAAAAGGTTTTCTTACCAAAGGAAACGTACTTTGAGGGTTACTAAGGTGGGGAGGGAAGAGGAGGGACGATGAATAGGCTAGAGTAGGCAGGTGCTAACTGGGTGAAGGGGAAGAAATTATTCTAAAAGGAGAAAAGTAATCAAGGGAGAAGAGTTGGGGCAACGTAATGGTGGTGGGGGTGGGGTGGGGTGGTGAAGTAGTTTAATTTGTTGAATACACAATGATCATCTGAAATGTAAGCCCCACCTGATTCACAATAAAAATACATTTTAAAATTATTAAAAATATTTAACAACTATTCTAAACTCTTGGTATAGAATTTTAATTAAAACAACTGGCTGAGTGATGTAAGTCACTAAAAAAGAAATATTGAATGGTTCCACTTCTATAAAATATCTAGAATCGGTAAATGTACACAGAATAAAATAAAATGTAGTAGTGCTTAACAGGAATGGATGGAGGGGGAGAGGGGACTCGTTGCTGAGGGAACACTGAGTTAAGGGTGACGGAAACATTTGGAAGGGGATACTGATGAGGGTTGCACAAGGTGAGGAAAAACTGCGTGGCCCGGAATTGTATTTGTGAAAAATGGTGAAATGGCAAGTGTTATGTTTTATTATTACTAACGGCTCTTGCTACCTAGCAGCACCAAACTTAACAATACTTTTTAAAAAAGATTCAAGTGATTTAAAAAGTTTTCCTTACTCAGTTTTTTCGATACTGTTTACAGTAAGTATAATAAGAGTCAACTACAGGTAGGCACAGATATTCACATTGGGAAGCAGAGAGTCTGACTTTGGGAGAGAGCTCACCTCAAAGTCGATCAGCTGCAGGTCTGCTATGAGAGTCACCAGCAGCCCACTCTGGTAGAGTTCCTGCGCCAGCTGAGCCACTGCTTCGGGTGGGGGCTCCTTGTCAGTTGTACCACACAGAATTTCTTTCATCGCCTGCAGTGATTTTGACACCTCCTCTGAGGCCTAACAACAAAAGAGTATGCTGATCGTACAGAAGAAAAGGCATGTTCAGGTAAAAACAAACAGAAATAAAATTTTAAAAACCCTACTTTCTCTGTCCTGTTTGCATATAATCAAATAATAGTATGCAGTTATAAACAAACGAAATAAAAACATTAAGTAGGCATTGCTTTTTTTATTTTGAAAAAGTTACCAAATTCTGTTTATGTACAAAAGGGCTTTAGTATTTCTAATGAGCATAATTGAGATAACGTTCTTGGAAGCATACTCTAACTTAACTAGAAATTAAATATAAATTTTATTCCTAAAAATCAGAAGGACTTTGCTTTGAACACTTACAAATAATAGTTTTTATTTAAAACAAGACCCACTAATGTTCTGTGTCAGTCCTCTTATCCTTTATAGGTAATCATTGCCTTCTTTGCTAACTATGAAATTTTCAAACACAAACATAACGTGATAGACTCTTGAGAACATCATGCTAAGAAAAAGAAGTAGCTACAATGTCCACAGACTGCGTCCATTTATATGAAACGCCCCAAACAGGCAAATTCATAAATAAGTAGATCGATCTTTGCGAGAAGTGAGGAGAAGTGAGAATTGACTGTTTAATGAATTGACAAAAATGCTAGGTAGTGGTGATGGTTGCCTAAGAATGTGAGTGCACTAAAAGTTGATTTGTACACTTGAAATGTCTAAAATGACTAACTTTAGCTCAATGAAAAAATAATCACCTCGCTGGATTTCAAAGAATGGCTACAACAACAACCCCCTGCCTACGGGCTCATGGCCACTCACAGCCACCGTAGATAGTGCTTCCTCTTGCTCCTGAGAAGCTGCCCCGGAGTTTGAACTGCTGACCTTGCAGTTAGCAGTTAGCAGTCCAACACTGACCAGGGCTCCTTAAAGAATGGATAGAGGTAGGGAAAGAAAAGCAGACTAGTTTAGCAGCGGGGAGGGAGGAGAAAAAATGAGGAGCTGATACCAGGGGCTCCGGTGGAAAGCAAATGTTTTGAGAATGATGAGGGCAGCAGATGTACCAATGTGCTTGACATACAATGGATGTACGTATGGATTGTGATACGAGTTGTACGAGCCCCCAATAAAATCATTAAAAACAAAACAAAACTTAATTTGCTAAATATTTTAAAGGAAATGTAATGTGATGACTGTGTTAGGCCAGCTTGACTACAGAAACAAATCTGGTGACACTCATATATGTGTAAGAAAGAGCTTTATATCAAGAAGTGATTCTATATCAAGAAAACATCTCAGTCCAGTCAAAGTCAATCCTTGAGTCTGATACTAGTCCACATTCAGGGATACAGAATGCAGGAACATCACAGGCCGGCATGTGGATCCAAGGTGAGTGGCAAACATGGCAGGGCTCCAATAGCGCTTCAGGTCAGCAAAAAAGGAAGGTGAAGGCAGACAGAGAGAGAGAGAGAGAACACTTTTCCTTCCTACCCATTTTTATTTATTCTTTATTGAAGTGTTCTTTTTTTTATCTTGGTCAAAATTTGGCTTAGTATTAAATATTCTTGAATTTGAAACATATTCCACGTCCCTTAGAAAATCTAGCATGATAGCATACATTGGCATAGAGAGATATCTATGACCAGTGGTGGGGGGGGGGAACCAAAAAACTCACTGCCACTGTGGTCAGCAGCCCACTATGCCATCAGGGATCTCATTTATATGACAGATAGAATTTATTTTGCAGACATTTTGAACTGTGCTATACATAAGTCATTCTAAAAAGAAACCGAATATGAAGAATTTAGAATCCCTATAAAAATTCTTTTAGAAACTTAAACTCACTGCTTTGGAGTTGATTCCAACTCATGGCGACCCTACACAACAGAGCAGAGCTGCCTCTGTGGGCTTTTGAGACTGTATATCTTTACAACAGTAGAAAGCCTCACCAGCCTTTCAGTTAGCAGCCCATCATGTAACCCAGTACGCTACCAGGGATCCTGTATATAGTAGCTGAAATCACAAAGTTCCTTGCTATGAGGTAAGTCCCTCTAACGATTATTTTTAAACAATTTTTAAATGAGGTTTCAATGTTGTAGACATTGTTATCAATCACTGGATAAAAAGGTTTTACCTTTTGTATTGATGTATCAGTATAACCTCAGACACTGGTAGGCATCCTTACATCTGTAAACTCTGTAGTATAGAGGAACCCAACAGAGGTAGTGCCTTTAGATAGTGACTTGAGAGTTGTAGAGATTCGAAAGTTTTAGATACTAATAGAACAAACAATTACAGCTTCATAAACCTAGAAGTTAAAATTTAATGTGTTCGTGGAGACCCTAAATGTACATCAGAGATTCTTTGTTGAGGTTTTCACTGGTTTTGAACGTAAAATATATGTATTTTAAAATATTTTGGACTTAAAATATTGTTTTTGCTCATACCTTGTCTGTCTTTTTGTCTTGCTTTTCCAAAATAGCCATGTTCTCTTTCAGAATTTTCACAATTTCTGCTGGATTTTTGTGTGATTTACTAAACAAAGGCATTTTTTCTTTTTTTGATGTCTAGATATCACTTCTTCCAAGATAGAATGCTAAAAACAAACAAAAAAAGTAAATTTAACTCTTACTATGCTTAAATTGTCACATCAAAACATGTTGTCATCAGTTTTTAATAACATCAACTTGAAACATTAAAAGCTGTCATGCTAACCAAGAGTGACCTCAATAAATGGAAGAATATCCCATGCTCGTGGATTGGAAGACTCAATATAGTAAAGATGTGAGTTCTGCCCAAGGCACTATGTAAGTTTAATGCAATCCCGAGACAATTACCCTCATCTTTCTTCAAAGAAATAGAAAAACTGATTACCAACTTCATATGGAGAGGGAAGAAGCCCAGAATTCGCAGAGAACTCCTCAAGAAGAAGGACGCAGTGGGAGGGCTTGCTTTACCTGACTTTAACACATACTACACAGCCACAGTTGTCAAAACCGCATGATATTGGTACAATGACAGATACTCAGGCCAATGGAAAAGAACTAAACACCAGGAAATAAAATCATCAGCATACAGACAACTGATCTTTGATAAGGACCCAAAAAATATCCAATGGAAAGCAGATGCCCTCTTTAAAAAGTGGTGCTGGAAAAAACGGATATCCACCTGCAGAAAATCGAAACAAGACCTTTATTTCGCTCCACGCACAAGAATAAACTCAAGGTGGATCACAGACCTTGATGTTAAACTCCAAACTATTAGGGCCATCAATGAGGGAATTGGGACCAACTTGAGAACTTTGGCACAGGGAATGCATAGGCTATCAGAAATAGGGAAGGACACAAACACAGAGGAGGCACAAATTGACAAATGGGATGGATATACTGAAGATAAAACACATGTGTACATTGAAATAATTCACCAAGAGAGTAATAAGAGAGTCAAGGACTGGGAAAACATCTTTAGCAATGACACATCAGACAAAGGCCTTATTACTAAAGTCTACAATACTCTGCTAGCTTCCAAAAAGAAAAAAGCTAATTGCCCACTTGAGAGGTGGGCAAAGGACTTGAACAGAAGTTTCACAGAGGCAGAAATCCGAATGGCCAACAAACATATGAGAAAATGTTCCCGATCTTTAGCCATAAGAGAAATGCAAATTAAAACAACAATGTGGTACCACTTAACACCCTCAAAGATAGCCCAATTCAAAACATCAGAGAGCAACAAGTGTTGGAGGGGCTCTGAGGAGACAGGGACTCTCATCCACTGCTGGTGGACCTGTAAGTATGTACAACCACTGTGGAAATCGATCTGTCGATATCTAAAACAGATGGAAATCAAGCTACCATATAACCCAGCACTCCCCCTACCGGGCATATACCCAGAAAAAGCAAGAAACAAACCAAGGCCAGACATCTGTGCTCCAATGTTCATCACGGCACAGTTCACAATTGCAAGGAGATGGAAACAACCCAAATTTCCATCAGTTGACGAGTGGATTGAAAAACTGTGGTACATACATACACTGGAGTACTACGCATCACTAAGAAGCAGCGATGGACGTAGGAAGCACATCGCTGCATGGGAAGAACTGGAGGAAATCATGCTAAGCAAAGTAAGCCAAGCACAAAAGGGCAAGTACATGAGTCTGCTGAGGTAAGCTTAAAAAAAAAAAAAAAAGCAAAAGGGGCATAGGGAAAAAGCTACTGTATACAAACATTCCTGGGACAAAGGCCAGGTAGTATGGCATGGGCCAGACCAAATCCAGGGATACATATGGTAGCCAACTAAAAAGGAGGGGGGAAAAGTTAAAAAAAAAAAAAAAACAGAAAAGAAGAAAAGAAATGGGTAGCTGGGGCACAGAGGGTATTGTTTATATCTCCACAGGGAAAGAGGGACCAGACTTCAACCCAGTGCTCCAAGATGTGAATGCAACATGCCGGCATGGAGTAGGGAACCAGTGGAGAGGTCTGAGGAGCTGGCCCCAATCCCAACTACATGGACACCCCACCAACACCCTCCGCAAGAATTTATTTCAGAGGACATCACTGAATCTGCAGCTCAGGGAGAGGGACATGTCTGATCAGAGCACATGGTAGCAAATGAAGGCGGAGGAAGAGAGAGTGGAGTACATTCTGGCCCACCAAGCCTTGAGGATTAGAATTCCACTCAGAGCAGCCAGAGAAGACCATATGGCCGGCCCTACTATGAGACACGCCATCCCTCACTGACCCATAGTCCTCCAGGGGACAACACTGGAGACACAGTATGGGAATTACGCCCGATCTGATCCCACCACACCGAGGCAAAACACTAAGGGAATGGAACAGAACAGCAAGGGGAACAGAACAATGAAGTCCCCGGGAATACCAAACATAGACTGTGGGGCCTGGGCTTGGCAGGCCACCAAGAGTCAGCCAGATGACAGGGTCCGACAGTCCCCAGCTCAAGAGATGTAAATTCCAATGGTGTGGCGAAGCAGGTCTTGAAGGAACCTCTAATTACAGCGACACAGTCCACGGGTTAGGTGTCCCATAGGTAGCGTAGCTTGCAAATTGAGGCACAGAACAAGCAAGGCAGCTGCACACTTGTCGATGATCAAAGAGCGAGAGACAAGAAAGGCGAGACTCACCGAGCCATTTATCTCTCCACCCTTCAATTAATCCCACTTGTGTTTATCGGCCATGTTAGCACAATAAATTACCTCAAACATCATGCTTGGTAATGTAGAGGTGCAGTGAGAAAGAGGAAAGCCGAATTAAGATTAGTTGGCACAGGGGTTGCAACGATGTGTTCAAACATAAGGACAATGGCAAGGACTATGCAAGACCAGGCAGGGTTTTGTTCCATTGTGCATAAGGTGGCTATGGGTTGGAACCAACTCCATGATACCTAACAATAAGAAAGCCTCTATCTAGTCTTGCAGTACTAATAGAGTCAATGCATGACTCAGAGCAAGTGGGTACCACTGTCTGGGCATTATTTGCTCTATCTGTAAAATCAAGGCATTCTTAAAATTAGATAGAACACCATGTTTTAAAATTAGGTAGACCATATTGCATGTATTCCTAATTGGTTTTTTTTACTATTCCAATCCATTATGTGTTTTTAACTCCTAACATCCATCATGGCTGAAGAAAAAGTCCTTATAGTATCTTCTGAAAAAAAAAAAAAAAAGTATCTTCTGGAGCTAGGGCAGTGGTAATAAATTTCCCATAAAACCTACCTTATGTTTTATAGGACATTACAGTTCACTAAACCGACAGAAGATGCTAATTTTGGTCCAGCGGACTGACAATAGCTGAATGCCTCCTCAAAAACCCATCCAAGCACACTACCATTGAATAGATTCCGAATCATCACAACCCGCTACAGGGTTTCTGAGACTGTGCACCTCTATGGGAGCAAATAGCCTCATCTTTCTTCCACAGAGCAGCTGGTAGGTTTGAACTGTCAATCTTGCTGTTAGCAGTCCAACACGTAACTCGTGGCACTTATAATTTTGTTGAGGATACTATATGAATTTGACCCCCAGGGTTAGCTCTGAGAGGGGCCAAGCAGCACTACACTGTCATGGACCGATACTGGCCCAGTTGTACTTTTCCACTTTCAAGAATAAGTAACAAGCCAAACAAAAATAATGCTGGTTCTATTTTACATTTTTTTAAACAGAGCATGAGGGCTGTGGGGCTGTGGACATTTCTCTTATTGGACAGGAAAGGTTGTTTCTGAAATTAATTCTCTGCAGGAGATAGGACAGCTCTCTCTACTCTAGCATTCTAGAAAAACTCCAACTGCATTCCTTTTCCATGTTCTTTAAGCCTGGGGAATAAAAAGAAGTCTAGAAGGGCAAGATCCAAGTTTTAAGGTGGACCGGGTAAGGTTTCCCAGAACTATTCATTGAACAGCACTTGCTACCCTTGTAAAATGTATTGGTACCTTGTCAGGTTGGGGAAAAACTTCATTGGCACGATTTTCCTGGCCTTTTCCTTAGCATGATAGGTTTAAATTTTCATAAAGCTTCCAAATAAGTTCCTGTGATCATCCTGTGCTCTTTAAGATAATTGATTAATATTATCCCTTTGGCGTAGGGAGGTGGGCAGGGCAAGCTATTGAAGGAGGATGAGTAGTTTACATTGTTGACTACAAAACTGATTAGCTGAAATATTAACCCCCACCTAATGCTCAGTAAAAAAAAAATGGTTTTAAAAATCTGTTTGGAATCCCCAATAACAGTCAACAGAACCTTCTGACCTGACTTCTTTGGCTGGAATTTAATTGGTGCAGCAGATCCGCTCAGAAGGCAGTTTTTAATGGATCTTTTTGTTTAAAGGGACCCTAATGGGACTAAGACAAGCTTATTTCTGAGAGAACTTGTCTAAACAGATTTTATTTGGAATTAACCTGTGTATGTATGAATTGGAACCCTCATAAGCCATATTTCATGACTTACCTTCATACACATACATAAGCACACACACACACTCCAAATGTACCATGACCATCCAAATCTGCAAAGAGCAGAAATGAGACCTCAGAAAATTAACGGAGGACAATTAAATCAGCGTAGTCTATATTTATTTATTCAAAACTTATTTACCCAGCAACTATAATGTGCATCAATAGGGAGCCCTGGTAGCACAGTGGTTACACATTGAACTAGGAAATTCAAATTGAATTATCCTTAAAGGGTTCAAAAGAAATTGGGGAAAGACACATAAATAGTAATTCAAAATTCTAGAAAAAGTCAAATACACTAAAATGATGGAGACAAGATACAGGATGCATGTAGATGTATGACAGGACTTTTAAAAGTTTAGGGAAAAATTCCACCATCATTTAATTCTATTCTTGTTCCCCAAAACTTTTTTTCAAGCCCTCTTGTAGCTACTGAAGGAGATACAGTGGGTTACAAGTTCAGCTGCTAATCAGAAGGTTGGCAGTTCAAAACTACCAGCTGCTCTGAGGAAGAAAGATGAGGCTTTCTACTCCCGTACAGAGTTAATCTCCCCAACCCACAGGGGCAGTTCTACCCTGTCCTATAGGGTTGCCATGAGTTAGAATTAAGTCGATGGTAGTGAGTTAAGTTTT